GCTCCAATGACAAATGATATCAATATTGAATTTTATACCAAATGAAAGCTCGTGAAAAATGGGGTTAACAGGTACAGTTAATAATCCGATAGACTATTGTCACCTATATAGAACGAAGTGAATTTCTCGATAAAGGCGAGATAAAGGCGAATCCTGGACCGGTCAATATTTTCGTGACACAGTTTTAGTTCAACACGTGTTTCCTTTCTTGAAAAATGAAGAAAACGTGATTGACGTGGATGAAGTCATATTTGTTCACAACAAAGCACCGTGTATGAAAGCAAATATGACTCAACAATTGATAAAAGACAACAATATCAAGTTTTGAGGTAACAATATTATATTTATAGATCCTACTAAGTAGTTTCTATCCTGAAAAAATCTCGAAAATTTTTCGGAGCGTTTAGGAGAAAATCGAGGTGAAACTTCCCGAATTTTTCAAGTAAATTGAGTACCACTCGAACGTAAAGTTGGATTGAGACCAAATTCCTTCACCATTAGAATCAACTCGTCAAGAACTATAATTTGATGTATAATTATGCAATGTTTCGTTCATTTTCACCGACTTCGGTTTCATCCTCATTATTAACTTGAGATGTCTAGAAAACCACTTTCCACACTTTTTTTCAAAAAAACGCGTAAGCGAGACCTTTAGGTTAGTTTTGATGCTCTACACGATGGATAAAGTGAAATTTTCGCGGCAAGATGTTCTGTATAAAGTGGGATCTGTGTGGAAGCACCCTTTTTCAAGTCCTGCGCTTCAAGTACTAGGGTAGGTCTCTGTATAGAACCTAGCCACTTAGAACCTCAGTTCGAAGCTCTGTGGACACTGATTTGGCGTAATGAATAACTTGTTCCTTTATTATAAATTCTTTAGTATACAGAAGCTTATAAATTTTTAAAAGAATTCTTCTCATACCATTGTATAACAAGCAAAACAAGAAGATAAATACAAAGAAAATTATTTGGCAGTTACGCGTCGGTTTACCAACCATACAGAATTTAGACATCAGCAAGTTTTCGAAGGAGTGTCGTTTAAGATTTGGAGTCTGTTTGGAAATAAGCATACACATAGTTGCTGAGCGATACTCTTTTTTCTTAAAAAAGACTTTAAATTGCTGAAAACGTTTAATTTGATTAAACCATATCATGTGCTCGATCACGAAATTCTCGTTCATCTATTCCCGAGTCAACATCGGATCGTTTGTCAGTATTTAGATTTCTTCCCTGCGATGAATTCATTGATGAATTTGGATCAAGTTTGTTCGTGTCTGGCTTTTTAACTGGTAATTGAGTAGTTTCAACAGTATCAGGTTTTAGAGTAGCGATATCCCATACTTTTAATGTTCCATCTACAGAACCAGAAAATAAACGGTCTTTAGTCGTCTAGAACAAATAAATGGTGATGGTTTTATACGAACAAGGAATTATTAACTCTGATTACCTCCATGGCACTAACAGCAAGTGTATGAGACTTAAATGTGCGTTTCAAAATACCCGATCTTGCATCAAAACAACGAACAAAAGCATCTCCACAACCCGTATAAACTAAAGTATATGAAAAAACAAGAAAAAATATGCTTGAATGTTAAAATGTTATCTCTCCTACCTAAACCATTTTTTACTTGTAAACAAGATACAGTATGTTTATGTCCTTTATATACTCGTGTACAATCGCCAAATTCTGTAACAAAACATCGAACTGTATGATCGGAACTACTTGAAAATAAAAGTTTATTGATTACCTAAAACAAAAGCTAAATACGTCGAATATCATTTGTCTTTTTTATTTGTACCTACAGTTTTTTTTTAAACATTTTAAATCAACTTACAACAACGTTGATAATTGAACCAGAATGCGCTTCGAATACTCGTAATTCATTTCCACGAAAGATATCCCAACATCGAATGAAGTTATCAGCAGCTCCGGTAAATAAAAGTTTTCCTTGTCGATCCGTTGTCAAACATAGAATAGCAGCCGTATGTCCTTTGAATGTTTTTAAACATTCACCACTTTCAAATGACCACGATTTCGCTGTGTTATCTTGTGATCCTAAGAAAATATTTAATAAATGCAAATTGTAATTATACAACATTTTGCTTTCCAAATTATTATATTGCACCTGTTATAATAACATCTTTTGTATAAATATCAATTTCATCATCTAATAAATCGGCTTCATCCTGTTCAGATGGTACAAATAGAATTGGTAATACGCCATGTTTATGTCCACGAAACACCCTAACACAAGTACCACTATCAATATCCCAACATCTTGCTGTTCGATCATATGATGTTGAGAATATAAAATCTCCGGTACATATCACACGACTAATGAGTGATGTATGTCCCGTGAAGATAAATAAACATTGACATAAACTCATATCCCATTTTCGCAATGTTTTGTCAGCTGAAATAAGTTTATAACATATGGTTCTAGAACTAAACATTATAATTTTATTTACCTGAAGCACTAATTAAAAAATTTTCTTCAATAATAATGCATGTTACATAATCCTGATGTCCAGTTAGAATACCGATACATTCAACGAGATCTGTTTTGGCACTCCACAGACGTATACTATGATCGTCTGAGCCTGTGGCTAATACACTACCATCTTCACTCAATACCATACAGTTAATACCAGCTTCATGTTCATCTAATGTTTGTAATAAATAATTTTTATCTTTTTCGCGACGTTTCGATACAGCACTACCCATTACTTTCTAAAAAACAATTGACAAGTTTTAATTTCATTAAAATTCGACAAAACTTCGACGTTTATCCTTAAAATTTATGTGCTAAATACACCACCTACTCTACTTTACACAAAGTAAGTTGAAGAGTTAAGTCACATCATATTCTCATCTCTTTTCCTATAAAAATGAAAAACATAATTGTTATAAAATGCTGACTTACTTTAAATAAAAAAAGATTTTTTTAAAAGTACTTTCCTGTGCAAAATAGTGTGAAATAACACACACTTTGATAAATATACCGATACACACACAAAGAGTTTCTGCTGGAATTATTCAGTTCACAAAACTATTACATATTGTTCGATTAGTCACAGATTAGAACAAATTCTAAAACTTAAGTGAACTTTTAGTACGATAGTAAAGTATCGTCTTCTCATACGTATAATTCTTTCTTTTTTGTTTTCGATTAAAACACAAAATCTTACGATCTTCTATCTGTCTATATAAGAAAAACTTAACTCATAGTGAAATACCTGTCAAGGAAAAATAAAATTTCCCAAAAGTAGTCATTTCTTTCACGTCCAACACTTTTTTGGGCTCCCTAGACAATCATATTTTTTAGTTCTTTCTACATTTTCAGCTGTCATTTGCAAAGAATATTTATTTATCTTGAACCTTCGCGAACTATCAGGACAACACAACTTTTGACTAAATTTACAAAATCTGTTTTGTCTAAATTTGCAAAATTTGTTACCTAATCTGTTTCTCTAATCAAAAACTAAAAAAAAAAAGATAAAAGTACAATATTCTTTTCAGAAAAATTTTTATTTTTTCTACGCTATTCAAATTTTTTCTTCTTCTATTTGCAATAGAATAACGACATTTTGCGTAAAATTGAGAGATAATAGGAATTTTTTTTTGAATCAGTTTTTAAAAACATAATATTACATAGTCTATTTGAAAGTTTTCTCGGCGGTCTATTTTATTTAATATTTAAAGTTTTTATGTTCTGTTATAAGAACGTGTTTCCTATGCTCTATGCTTCATCATGAAAGAAATTTTGAAGATTTTTTAATAGGATACTTTATGACGCACATTTCTTCTCATGACCTGTATATAATATCAGGGAGTTGAATCGATCGACCGACGACAATCTTTAATGTTTTATAGATCTTTTCTTTTGCTTATACTTTGAACAAATATTCTCAATATAATGCTGAAAAAAATCATATTTTAGATAACACTAAAAGGTTTAGGAAAATGAAACTATACAAAACCCATAAGGGTTTAGGAAAGAGTTTAGCAAATTTTGCTAAATATGAAGAAAATCTATGGTTCGTACTAGAATATGTTTTTATCAATAATAAGACTTAACTATTTCCTTTAAAATGATAAAAATGACAATTTGTTTCGCCAAATTATGAAACACAGGAAAGACTAGAGTTAAAGCAAAAAAAAATTAAGAGATGATTCGTAGTATTCAATCTATTAGTTAACGCAGTGCTCGCTAAAAAAAGTCGTGTTCTTGGAAACTGACACAAAACGGTTTTCGAGCATTCGGGAGTTCAGAAACTCTTAAAGAGTTTCCAAAATTGAAACTATAGAAAACGGATAAAGGTTTCCGAGATTAGCTCAGAAACTCATCTCAGTTTTCGAGAACTTGTGGGAAACCCATTTTGGTTTCCGGATGATCGAAAACCCTTTCCTATCTGTTTCTAATGATTCGACTTTTTTTTAGAGAGTGTCTGATACACTTTTCTTTGAAAAAATTCTTTACATATAACTAAAGGAATTTATTCATAGGCTATTTTGATTCTTTATACATACTAAAAAAACTTACTACGATTCTTGAAAAAAAAAAGGATTTGGGAAAAAAACCTCTGATTTTTATCAAAGTTAGAAAACTCTGTTGTATATAGTACTTTTTAAAAAAACTTTTAAGTATTTTGAAAAATGAAAAGGACATATTTGTAAATTCTTTTCGTTTTTATTGCTCACACTAAAGAACACTTTAGCGCTTAGTAGCGATATTTCTAAACTCTTTTTATTTGTCAAAATACACGTATTTTTTAGAGAATAGTACTCAATTCACTTCGGCACTATTGACTCAGATTAATTGCAAAAATGAATCAAAAAGTGAGTGACGGTCTGCGTACGTTGGTCTTGATTATTGATACGAAGTCTCTTCTAATACAGAGTTCGAGAATTTGAAGAAGTTAATTAACAAAACTTTAAAGTTTTGATTGACTTACTATTTATCTTGATAAAAAAAGTATTGACAGATCAATATAGAGATATCTGTGAAAATTTCTTGGGTAAAAAGAGTATGATACTAACTATTGCAATAAGGTGTTTAACATGTCTTCGCTCCTTAATCAGTCAATTTATTTCGACGACGTTGTCATAGTGTTAGTATTCGTCGTATCTGCTCTGTTGATTGATCACGATGAAGATCTTTCAGGTTTTGAGAACTTTCAATGTAAAATACCAAAGTTTTAGAGAAAACTCTCGTCATAGCTAAATAATCATATAAATACAACTAACAATGTCCTTAATTTACCGTTTTTGATTGTTTTAGCTGTTAGTTCGTCAATTTCATGAACATTTTGTTTTTACTTTCCTTTCCTTTTGTTTAATAATGAATTTGAATAGTTCTGCATATCTCTTGGGAGGTGTGAGTACACGTATACATATTTATTTTTTATTGTTTCACGGGTCTCTATTTTTTTTCTTTTTTTTATAATTAAACTTTTAAATTTTTCTGACGTTGATGACTATCTTTATTTCCGGTTCTTTTTCTTTATGAATTGTTTTTTCTCCTTTAATTATATATTTGTATTTTTAAAGTAAAATATTGTTCGAGAAAAGCAACTCTTCTTTTTTTTTCTGTCTTCAAACACCTCCACTATTACTTTTCAAACTTTTTTTTTTTTTTTTATTACTGAAAAGTCTTTCACTCCATTGGGACAGTGGAACAACACATTTTTGTTTCAATCCATGATTTATTTACTGTCTTCAAAAACAATGTATAGTGAAAGAACAAATTTTAAATTATTTCATTATTAGCTCGTTGAACTATATGTGAATATAAAATAATACAGATGCAAGAAAGGAAAATATTTAAGTGTTTTTGAACACAATGTTTGCCTTTCTAGGATATTGTATAAAAGTAAAATTATCTAAAAAATAAATAAAAATGAAATTCTTTTTGCTACCATTTTGTCGAGACATATTTGTGACATTTTTAATAAAAATAAGATAATGTTTGTTTCTGTCAATATTCTGGAAAAAACAGTTATAATTTGAAAAAGTAACTATTTCTCTTTTTTCAACTAAATGACTTTAGTGACAAATCAATCATAGCTTATTATATATTTTTTCATATTTATATTTCAAAGAGGATTGAAACATCATATACTTAAATTATGCTATCACTTATGTGAATCTTGTTTTGCCTATTTAGGATATTATGCAGTGAAGATTATTTTTTTTTTTTAAAAATATAAAATAAAATCATCGAACAAATATCTTTCAAAAATTATACATAATTTATAATACTAATTCATTTTTATGTGTCCAACTATGATCTTTGGCTAATTGAATTGTTTTATTTAACTGTATATACCAAAATTTGTACTCTGTCATTTGTCTAAATCTTATATACACACGCATTAATTTTAATGATGATGTCGAATGATGGTGATTTATTCTAGAACTTTTTTTTGATAATAGTAAACGAATTTGACCACCTAGAGATATAAAAATAATATTTATTATCAGAAGTAGTTTTACATTGTCAAATTTCTTCTGTAGAAATCATTAAAAACTGAATGATTTCAAGAAAAAGGACATATAAAATACAGTATATTTTTCTCTACCTTCATCTATTTGATTACATTCTAATTTAATAACATTTTCTAAAGAAATTGAACTTGATGATGACGTTCCATTATTATCGATTTGAATAAAATGTAATATGTTATCGTATAATTCAAGTAAATTCTATATAAATTAAATAAATATTTCTTATATATATATTTTTATTATTCTGCTAACTAGTCGTTAACTTACCATTGACCATGGTTCTCTGTTTACACGTTGTAATACGGCCGATGACGATCGAATCAATTTGTTCTCATTTGTTTGAATGGTCGAATCCTATTATTTAATTTTTGTATTATACAAACAATGAAATATATATATTTATGTTTAAATGTACATTCTTACCTGATCAGTTGTTTGATCTTCTGTGTCTATATAAGTTCTTGAGTTATCATTAGATGATAAAACTTGAGATGCTTGTATTGCTAACAATTTTATAGCTGAAAAAAACAATTATAAGAGTGAACATTTCATAACGAGGAAGGTGTATTATTAAACCTTCTAAGCAGTGAATATCAAAATCATTATTTTCATAATCATATTTTTCCAATAGACGATGTAAAAGATGATTCATTTGACACAAATGTTTCAGTGGTAGTGTGATAAATTGTTTGAGAGATTTGAATACATAGTCAACTGGTAGCTAAAAGAAACATACATCAATGTCAAATTATATATTTTTTCAATATTTTTTTTAATAGTCTGAATTCAATTAAGAAATACAATTTTATGACATTTGTATATAAAGGTCTGAGATACAAAACAAATAAATGATTTTTAAATGTTGTTTTATCTTCATAACTTAAAATATCCGTCTATGATTAGATTTCAATCTCATTTTCAAATACTTACTACGCTTTTAACATCCGTTAGATTAGGCAAGAACGCGTGCATAGCAGCAACACAAGAAATGTTAAATGTTTACAAAACGACGTATCATATCATTTAAAATAAAGTTTTAATTATCGGAAAACAAAAAGAAGTGGGACCATTGAATTAAGAATAATTGAGAAATCTAAGTACGGAGCAGTAAGAAGAAGTAAAAGAAATATGTCTCAAACGATAAAATTTTTTAAATCATTGCTTCTTTTTTGCCAAAATGTTTTAGATACATAGCATAATCAAAACATAAGCAGGTGGAGCTATTTTTATATCGTATCATATTTAATCGATGGTGTTAAACAAACAACGAACTATATGAAGTAAAAAATCTCAACGTGTTGATTTTTTTTTTAACGTTTCACTCATTATCGATAATTGTATCTCTCACGTGCGTGTATATTACACTAATAGAAAAATTTCGTGTATCATTTAGTTTCAATTTTAAGTTCATTAACAACGAACGACAATATTCATGAATCAAAATATAAATGAATTCTCATAATTTCATTTATATTGAGATTATTTGAATTTTCTTCTACTCGATTACCTGTAAAACACTGGATATTTTCTTTTGTAATTTCTCAAGTGTTTCATATGCCTGTGAAAAATGGCTAATATACGAACGATATGAATCATTTAATATATTTAACTAAATGGAAAATGAGAGCAGTAGTGGTGAGCAACACAAAAAACGGCTGTCAATCACTCACCCAAGATTTATAAATTGTTGAGATAGAAATAAATCCGTTATTATCATGTAATTTTTCGCAATGACGCACAAGAGATTCACTGATAGCTGAGATCTAATAAAAAATCAAACAAAAATGATTATACGATCATTTAATACGTTAAATCATGGTCATGTCTTTCGCAATAAATCGTCATCATCAATAAGTTAAAGAACAAAAAAAGCTTACTTTTTCAACATTTTGAAATAAATCTAGTATTTGTTGTTGCGATAAATAACGTCGAAGTGGTCGAGAATATTTGGTGATATTTTCTTTCAATTGTTCATAATACATTTGTTCAACATACAATACATCTCCGAGAATATTTTTTGACACAATTGTTGTATCGTTATCATCAGTCTATATATAAGAGAAAAACTTTTAGAAAACTGATGACTAGTGTAATTATAGAGATTTTTCGTTTTAGAGTCGCGCTCGAAAATCTTTTTTATGTAGATAATCAGTGCCACGGCCACAGGGGTGGGTGAAGTTAGGGAGTGTAAGCCTCTGTTGATTTTCAACAAAAAAATTTTCTCTTTAACAATCTCTTTTCTCCCAAAACGTCTGCCTGAGTTCTTGCCCAGATTTACTAGCAAAGTGTAGGTATTTAATAAAACGTGCTGTCTCCCAAAAAAATGTACACCCCTCATGCTTCTTTCTCTCGTCACGGTACTGTAGATAACATAACACTCTACTCTTCCAGTAAAACTCAAACTGATACTGAACAGGAACCGTTATTACTATTGTTCAGAATATATACAATTAGCTGAATCTTACCGTTGTTTCTGAAAATCCACTATCTACATATTTAACTGGCATTAATTCTGATGATTCAGTAGTGGATATTGTGGGAATCATTGAATAATAAGACGATTGATTCGACTCAATACATAATGAATAATTTGTTCGATGCGCATAACCAGTGTTCGATGATGATGACAAATCATTTGTTGCTTTTGCTTTTATTCTTTTCTGAATTTGATATTTTTTTACCGATTTCTAAACGATTTATTTTAAAACAAAAGTACAAAACGGTATTTTTACAGAGGCAATTCTATTGTTTTTGAAATCAATCAGAACAATGTTTCTGATCCTGTCGCGGTTGAAAGAACAAACTAGACCCGATGAATTGAATGAGAAAAAAACAAATTATTACTCATGAAAAGAAATCTTAACGTTTTTAATTACATTCCACTATCTAGAAGGTAAAAAACGAAGAAAAATTCCATTTTCTCTGTTTCTTATCTCTCCTTTTTTCATGTGACTTGTACAGTATTACATTCACTTGTTTGTCAAAGGTCTCTGAGGAAGATTTCATACAAATTTGAAACGTCAAAACAAATTCAATAAATAATAAAGAAAGAGTTCAATCTTAAGATTTTCCTTTTCATTCGTAGGACAATTTCTTGAGGTTTTAGAATCTTATTCATAAACACTTTTTTATACGGATTTCACTATGGAAAACAAGGCAAGTATGACGATTTGAACAGGAATGTTCTGTATATTTCATACGTCACAACTGCATCCGTCTTTCAAGTTTGCAGATATATCTGCCTGAAATCCTTTTATTAAGTGAAGAGTAACATGTTTTAACTAAGTCACTAACAAATCTATCATAGATTTTCATATTTAGTATATAAATACATGTTGAAATACTTACACGCTTTGGACTCAAGATATTTGTACCACAAAACTTCATAGTGAATGCTCTATTTTGTGTTTATTGAATACTTTTTAATGACTGCTGTTTAGTTAAAACTATCCATATACTTTATTTTTCTTTCTTTTACGGCGTTTTCTAATCGTTCAAGTGATATGAAGTAATTAATAGCCTATAAATACAATACAATTTTATTCACACAAAAAAAACGATTGGATAAGAAAAGGAAGCATGTATATGTATTTTTCAACCAATACAAAATTCCTAACCATATACATTCGAAATGAAAGGAAAGAAAAATCGTTGAACAGTTGAACAAATTAGATCAATTTTAATGTTAAATATATTTTGGTAATGTGTCAATATTTGAATAATATACCAGAGCTCATAGTGAAGAAAATAAAACACTATTTTCAAACGATATTCTATTCGCAGTTTTGTATTTTCTCATACGGTTCTCCAGATCGATATGCTACATCAATAGAAAATGGATGAAAAACACCTGTATTTATTCATGTTATTATACAAAATTCAGAAATATAGATCTATACTTTAATCTTTCTTCCAGAGATAATATTTAAACCAGGTACATTTTCGTTGAGTATTTGTACGTTTAGTTTGGTTTGAGCGCGACTCTCACACAGGAAAGGAATGATCCTTACCTAAACTATTCAAACATTTGATTTTTCAGTACAAATTTTCGTAAAAACTTTCCTCGTAATCAACTTAAGTGCGACTGTTAAGAAACTGTTTACAAGAGCTGTAAGCTGCTCACTTGTTCTTCTATTACAGCGCTGATTCATATAGGTTAGTTGTTCTTTTTGCTCTATAATAACTTATTACAGTGAAATTAATGTTAAGTGTGATCGAAAAGTAAAGTGGTCATTTGAGAATTTTGATAAAGCAATCATTTGATTCACATCATTCACCGAATTCTTTTTGCTATATTACGTCGACGTGTGCTCTTGATCTGCTTTAGATGTACTAGCAAGAAAAAAGTTATTTACACAGTAGAAAATCACCGTCTTCGCATTTTTAAAGCACCCGTTGAAGAACTCATTTGAGTTTTTTGAGATGCATTGAATTTAGCTTTTCTTATCTAACGAAAAACGAAAGTTTCACTTTTTTGAGTACTTCAGAAATACAGTTTTTTCAAAAAAAAACGCAGAATATTCAATTCTTCTTCTAAGTTTCTTGTATCTCGAAGATCAGATGAAAAAAAACACCAATGTCGATCATCGTTTTTAATTTGTTTAGCATAATTCTTTATGCAAAGGACGTGATATTGTCTTAGAATGAGTTTCAAAACGAGATTATATGTGTCCTTAACAATCACAGTTGAAAGAGATCAAATCGGTGTTTATTCAGGAACGTGGACCGATCGACCAATTCTAGTAGCCATAATATTGATAGAAAAGTCGAACGCACAGGATTACGAAGAAGAAAATCAAGTTTTCTTAAGAAAATGAGGAGCTGGAACTCATTTTTTTGATCTAGTGTTTTCAGACGAACAAATGTCCCAGATAAGGATCTGATCAAATAAAAATTTCAATTTCAGTTACTCTAAAGAATAAAACAATCAGTTCTATCAACCTTTGGAAAACGCATACTACAAAGCACAAAACATGTTTTCTGTTCTGGGATGAACTCTTATTTTTTAATGTGTATTTTAGGGATTAGCGCCATAATGTGCTATTGAAAAGTATTCAAGTCACGTTTGATTATGAAAATTTATGATTGTTTGTGCCTCTACTCAGTTGAGGTAGACGTTGTTTTCTTGACAGGGAACGGATAAATACATTTAAACCACGTACTTGTCAAACGACATAATAAAAACTGTAAAAACTTGAGCTTCTTGATGATCTTCTCTTAATTGTAACGGTCACTTGTGCCGAAGAAAACGAAGTGTGGGACATTGTTTAATCAGTTATTGTTTGTGATAATGTTTCACACCTATCCAAATTTCTTTTATATATTAAAATGAAATCAAGTTAAATAATGGCACACATAAATACATGTGAGTATTACATAAAAGTGCACAAACGTTCGATTCATTTGACTAACTTTGAACAATAGAAACGAAAATTTCTAATCTAAACAGTCAACTTGAACATTTGCACTTTTAATGGATAATATATATGATTATACAAGAATACAACGATATAGAGAGATAATCTTGTCAATTTAATATATTTGAGACCAGATCAGCTTAAATTATTCCGGAATAATGATTGTTAACAACAGTAAGCGATAAGTGAATGGACAATCAAGAGGTATATCAAAAATCTCTTGACCGCCCTACGATTATTAAAAAGCAGCCAACGGATATTATTTTTAGTTAATTCTATTTCTTTCTATAATAGATCTTGAAAAGATGCTAGAGGTCAAACGATAGGTGTTCGATTGTATCAAGTGAGAATAAAAGAGAAAGAAAGACTAATTTGACAAAAGTCAGTTGAGTTGTTTTGTGAAAATATGTCAATGGCGGAATGATGTTCAACAAGAGTTCACAACTTTTGTTTTGCAATCCAATGTTGAGATAATTTAGAATAGTTAGTAGAATCAAAGAGAAATAAAAAATGTGAAATTTTTTGTAGATGATAGTTATTTGAATGCTCACATCCCTACCATCCGTTATGTGCAAAACATCGTTATAGAACACATAATTTTGTTAATTTTATTTTTCGAAAAATCATACAGCTGGTCTGATTTGGTATTGTCTCTATACAGTATGTATGGTAACAATCAATAGTCATTTTAGAAGCTGTTTCATAGTTTTTCGAGACTGTATCTAATTTATCATCATTATATTTTGAAATAATCACATTACATGTATAGGTGGAACATAGTTACCTCTTAAAAATATACAATATTTGATCATATTAGACGTATCTAACTGAGAAAAAAAAATCATAAATCATTATTGGTTGTTTAATGATGTGTTTAGCACACGAGGATGAGATATGGAAAATAGTTGTTCTCAAAGACAAATGTAAGTTTAATATGAGAAAGAAATCTACAAATTAATAGGCTAAAAAAAAAGGCAGTAGCGTAGTATTTTCGTAGATATGAGAAAGTAGAATTGTATGTTAACTTTGGATTAAACAACCATAAACATCATCAGTAAAACTAAATGAGAATGATATTTTTATTTAAAAAACAACAACAACAAAATGGGAACGATACTTTAATCTCTTTTTAAACGGCTAACTATCATAGTAAATAGTATTTACCATGTGTTTCAACTTTTCAAACTGTCAGCAATTATGTAGAAGATAATCAATATATAAGCCTGTGTTTTTTGAACGACTATTTAATTGTTTTAATTTAACAATAGGATATTTCATACAGTTCATTAACAACTAATTCTTTTTTTTTGTTTTCTGCTCATTTCAGAACACTATCGTTATACATTGATACAGTAGTACACACCTTATCAGTTATGCAGCCTTTTTAAAACGATAATTAGTATCGAGTACGTAAAAGGGTGTGAAAATTTTTCAGTAATATGCCCACGAGATATATGAGATCAAGTTTTATTTCTGGAAAAAATGTATCACAGATATTACGACGACAAAATATTTCTTTAAGCCGAGATTTAATTTCAAACAAAAAATCTTTCAAAAGACCCGCCTGCATTATGTATGAGAAAATAGATTAGATAATTGGGAATTAATATGTTTGTTTTTCAAATTATTACATGAATCTATAAATAATAATAATAATTATTTGTCAATCTTTAGTTGATAACAGTCTACAAATTAAACATCAAAGAGTCAAACAGTATGATTTACATTGGTTAACAAAAAAATTAGTTAATCAAAAAATGTTCTGAATCATATTGATTTTCATCCATTTTTTTCTTCTTCTAGCAGCAGCAATATGTTTAATTTAAGATATTTTTATTTTAATTTCTGTTTTTTATTTTCTACACCTTTCTCAAGAAAAGAAACTTTGAATTGTGTCACATCCACCAGACGTTTGTTTATCGATCCACACGCTTTTCTCATGCCATTTGTCAGAAGAAAGAAAACACAAATAGAAAGTGTGAAATGTCGATTGTTATTCAGCAAACGCCGAGTGTTCTCTAATCTACTAAGTTTTTGATCGATTAGTGATCATTCAAAATTGCATAAGTAAACAAAAAACTGAAAAAGGTAGACAATATCAGTAGTTCATTCTGTATGAGAGGAAAAAGTGAAATTTTTAACAATGGAATGATTGGAGAAAAAAATTAGACTGTTAACTGATAATTTCGATTGTTTGTTCTATGATTTATCCACTCAGTGTACAAAAAAAGTTTTGTTTTCTAAAAGGAAGCCTTCATGGAAGCCTTCGATGAATTCAATCAATGTATTTGAGAATTTATGTTCTTTTTTTTTTCTCTATTTTAAATAGTTGTCCATTTCATAGTCGAATGCATAAACGATCTATTGTTTTACAGAAAAAAAACTGTTTGTCGGCATTAAAATACATTTCATCGTTACATGTTTTGAAAATAGGTCCCCTTTGAGAATGAGAAGTGAGATAGAAGATGATTTCCAACATCTTCTGTTCGTTGAATGTAATTTACATAACATCATATTATTTTTTCAAAAAAAAAGAAACCGAGTAGAGAAGAGAGTATCCTGTAGAATGACAAATGTTTGGTCACAAAATAAAAATTATTGAACATAAAAAGATAAAACTATGTGAAGTGTTCTTTTGGACTTTCTTCTTTTACAGAGCATGTGTGCATTGATGAGCAATCACTTGACATATTACATACGAATAACTGTGTACGGCGTGACCAGCTAACGGTCCATCTTCGGATGAGAAGGTTCGAATTTTTGTTTTAACTTGAGTAAAGCTGAAAAATACATCATTAGGCGCAGTTTTTCACGGTGATTACAAATCTGGACTCGGAAAAAAATGAAAGTCAAATCTTCGTGGTAAAAATGTAAATTTTAAATTTAGTTTCCTGACCTAGATATTTTTTCCAAAAAATCTGAAAACTATACTGTCGGATAGAGAATTAAATCCTCTACCAAAGGGGCTACGCTTATTTTCTATGCGAGCAATTTTATGCCCATTTAATCTAACTTTGAAAATTTATTTTTGGCTGCATGGAATGCAGGGCACCTCAAACTATCCTTGTGCAAATCACAGCTTGCTAAGTAGTTCTGTGACAGAAAAAATATAGACCAAACCATCTGCAATGGTGAACCACCAGCAAAGAAGAGCAAAAAACGGTGAAATTCTGCAACGGTCACTTTTATTCAATTTCTTCTGCCAGGGAACTAATTCAAGAAAAAGTCATTAGTGATTCTGCTAGCCCAAATTGTGAGCTTTAATTTGGTAATTAAGCAATCATTTTAAAATTAATTTAAGGCTGAATAATTTACATTTTACTGGAATACCCCGAAAAACACTTCCATTTTTTGAAATTCCGTAACGGCCTCTATTTTGACTATAGCTTTTGATCCACTTGTTCAATCAAGCTCAAATTATTTTTGGTAGTAGAACTCCCTAATATCCATCATTGGTATAAATTTCATCGATAAACGTTGCTTTGCCAAGATAAAGGCACAGAAGGCAAAAGAATGAAATTCCGTAACATTTGGCCAAGCCGTATAGTCAAATTTATAAAAGCTCAAACGATATTACTAATGGAAAGAAAATAGGCTCACGTTTTGGTAAGCAGTGATAAAATCCTATTCTTTACACTTTCAAAAAAAAGAAAAGAAAATTAGCTGGTCTCAAACGAATATTCATTAGTGAATGTTATGGTTCATTTATCTCTAATTTTTGTATAAACTCTTCATGTCAAACGATGTCCATACTCAAGAGAGAAGTGAAAACATTCAATACACGTGTTACGTGAATGATGCGCTATTTGATCGAAGTTCGATTGGAATATTCTTGTTTTTTTGAATGTGTGTGTGATATACTCGACTTGTTTTTTATCTTCTCTATTGACCGATTTAACATACATAGAACTTGAGTGATCGTAATAAGAGAAGATTTGACAAGTTAAATTGTCAAGTGTATTATGACGTAAAATGAAAAAAATCACGCGAACAAGTAAAATTTTATGATGATATGAAAAAAGAGTTATCTATCCATCATTACATAGATTTTTTGAATATCTAAAATGAATGTTTATTTTATACGTGTTGAGCATTCTAAAAGATATTGAATAATACACAATCCAACCACGATTCACTGCCAATTGAATACCAACTTATAGAGAAATTATTTCATAAAACTCATTTTGACTCGCGTTTGATGGCATATTTTTGTCATGTTACGTCGTTGTAGTGATATTCACTGATAACTATTGAAAAAATTCAAATTTATCAGCTTTGATTCTAAGTAGATGATAAACAAGATTATTCTCAATTATTGGATAAAGTTAACATCTCTTCACTCATAAAAAAACGTCACTAATAGCATTCTTCAGTGTCTTAGAAATAAGACAACAGCAACTGACTTTTCCTCTATTGGTCGTGCGCGTGCATATTCTATTTTTGAAATAATGATAACGTTCATTTTTCTGTATTAAAATTGATATTTCCGGTGGAGAAAGTTAATTTTGTAATGTGAGTAGGGATTACGCTAATTTTTTTAGTAGTGGTGTGAATGACGTCTTCGTATCTATAAAATAAATCTTTTATTTATTATCGTGTCGAATATGAGTACGTAAGTAAGTAGCACGAAAAAGAAGACAGAAGAATAACATTTAACACGAACATTCGAAAGTCCATTACTAAAGAAGGAAACTGTGTAACGCAATCCCTAATCTCTCAATTGAACGCTAAGAGTAATTACGTGATTTACTTAAGAGTAAATAAAAAAAATGCATATTTAAAAATATGACTAGAAAGCCAACTGTGCTCCGTAAAGATTGGAAAGTCAACTGAGTGAAACGGCAATCAGAGAAAGTCAAACACTCACAAAACTTTGAGGAGATGTTCAGACGGTATTTGTATATTATATGCAGGACATAAACCATGCCTGTAATATTCTTATAGGTAACCATCGGTCAACTAAGTTCTTTCTAGTAACTATACACTACTATCTGTGAAAAAAAATAAGGCACGTGACTATTTTTTAAATAACTGAAGAACGAAAAGAGATAAGAAGTTGCGGTTTCCACCATTCGAAAGAGGAGACTTGAAGGCATGTTTTCATAATCAAAATTTTTTCAGAAGACTTTTCTGAAACGGGTTCTCCAGGAGGTTTTGGGAAAACTAGGCCGTGTGTAAACCTTTTCCAGTAGGACTGTATTCATTTTTTTTTATGCACTAATAGCACGGAGGGTCTTCTTCAAAATAGGAGTCAAGCAAGACCTTGATTTTCCGCTGTTCGAGCATTGTATCAGATTTCCTACGAGTCCCAGGACTGGCAACCAGTGACTATTGGTAGCCTTGAAGACGGTTGAACTATTGATAATCGATCATGCTGAGCCTCGTGGCAATATTTGTTTTGAGAAAAAATTTCAAAAATTTACCGAAAAGCGAGTTTTACAAAAATTAGGGTTTTCAGACAGTTTTCATCTAATATTAAAAAATTCACTGTTCACTCAAAAAACTTCGGATCGACTTCAGAATTCAGGATATGATTAATGTTGTCCGCTAAACGTGATTATAGACCGAACGAATAAAAAAGTACATTTTTATTAATAGGTTTTCCAGAAGCCCTTTGGAAAACCTTAGGGTTCTGAAAATTTTCTTTTGAGATCTCCTCTAAATAAGATATAGAATAGCTTAAATACTCTACATTCTGAAGTTTTGAAGTCGATCCGAAGTTTTTTGAGTGAACAGTGAATTTTTTAATATTAGGTGAAAACCGCCTGAAAACCCTTTTTTGTAAAACTCGCTTTTCGGTAAATTTTTGAAATTTTTTCTCAAAACAAATATTGCCACGAGGCTCAGCATGATCGATTATCAATAGTTCAACCGTCTTCAAGGCTACCAATAGTCACTGGTTGCCAGTCCTGGGACTCATAGGAAGTCCGATACAATACACGACTTAGTTTTCCAAAAACCTCCTGGAGAACCCGTTTCAGAAAAGTCTTCTGAATTTTTCTGGTGACTGGTATTCAACGAAAAAATTTTTAGTTAGGAGCGTTTCGACTTAAAAACGTAAAAAATTTTCTTATTAAATGATAAAATTTCCTTTCTCAGTAGGGGCGACCATCCCCAGCGCACTTCGTCTGAATCCATCACTGGCTCAAATTACCGACAATGTATGTGATATTTATACTATCCTTCTAAAATATCCTATCAGGATCATGCTCATCTGACTCAGCCGAATTTAGAGTTCGATTAATTTGAAATCGAAATTAGAATACAAACGTGGTTATTTGTTATTTTGAACGAAGTAACGTCTGGATACGTTCTCTGGCTTAGCCTTTTTTAGCAGCGATCTACATCATTTTGGTAGCATGTGATTCTACAGGTGTTGATTTTTTGATTTCAAAAATTGTTTAAGTAATTTACACAATAAAAGAAAATGTACTGCAACGTTGGATTGTATTTTCATGTATTCATTCTAGCGTAATATTCGACCATCGTCTAGCTGAAAATAAAATAATTTTTAAAAATCTTTTTTCATTAAAACTCTAATTCATTAGCGCGCCTTCGTTTCAAAAATACAATATCTTATTAAAATTTCTCGATATTTCTCGATGTATTTCTTTCTGACATCTTATCCTTCCTATGTGTTAATCATTGAGTTTATCATCAAGTTAAGATATCGCTGTTTTTGATAGTTCTACAAGCTAAAAGTAGTCATTTTGAAATCTCGTTAAAAAGAATAGCTAATGAATCTAATATGAAAAGAAATCGACGTAAATTAAATGATCATACCTCCGTAATAAACTCCATTGTTAACAGAGTTTGTGATACTAACGATACGTGCTCAACAGAAGAAAATGATGGTAATGAATATATGAAACAAAGAACTAAACGAAAATATAAACGCCAATATTTTTCAAGAAGAAAATTAAATAATGCTATTCTGACAATACCAGCTAGAATTTCTCGAATGAAAATTGAAAATGTAATATATCGTAATGCAGTTCCAATGTCCACGAATCGTACTCCAACTGTCGAAAGATTGTTAACACCATGCATCAGTTTTCATCAAAAAGAACAGTCTTCATTCTCGTCACCAACGTTATCATCAACCGAATCACTTTTACTCTATTCTATTATGAGTTTAAATAAACAACCGTCTGAAGTCGATTCTTTAACACCATTAACAAACATCGACTGTATCAGTAATACACAACAGACAAACGCATTAACATTGGTCAGCGATATGGAAACATGGAGAACAAATTATAACTCTGTACAACAACAACAACAATCAGTCATACCCATTATACCAGCAGACGATTTGACATCGATAAGTATTTCAGATACGTTACACAGTTTCACACTCAACAGTGGTGAGTTTCTATTATCTCATGAGAAAATAAATACATCTGCGTCGTCCACAGCGAAAATTTTACAGAAAAAAAGTGAACAAAAATCTAGTAAAAACAAACAAACAATATCGACTCTAAAACATCTAAACAAACGAAAACGCGACATTTTATCTCTGCCCACTTTGAAACCTGTTCAATATAAAACATCAAGTGTTTCACATCTATCTACAACATGTGTATGTTCAACAAACGATAAACAGCAAGCACTTGAATCTATTACCGGTATGCGTTCAGTCGTATTTTCTGCACTACCAGATAATGAAGACAATCATCCACAAAAACAGCAGCAACAAGAAAACTCATACGACCATTTTTCTATCAATGTGGAAGATTATCGTTTAGTAGAAGGGACATCAAAACATCTCAATTCAAAACCATATAGTTCTATGATGGATAAAAATGACACGACTCCAGTTCATGTTAGACAAACAGATTTATCTAGATCTGTCGATTTAACAAATATTTCTTCAACATTCAAAGTATTCATAAGTGTTGTTACTATTTTATTGATTGGATGTGTATTCATCATTGTGTGGCTTGTGTAATAATACGTCACAGGAATCTATTCTTTCTCAGTGCTCCAATAACGCTATCATTAATCTCTTTTTTTATTATTTCATACAAACTTTTAATCAATAAAACAAGGTTTTATGATGAAAATACTCTTTATATTCCAAGATAAACACCTAAGATAGTTGCTCAGTTTAACAAGTGCACGCACATGTTATAACAATTTAAGAATACATTAGGATTCCTAATATAAAAAAGTTCGTTGTGCTCCTTTTTATATATCACATTATAGGAGAAGAAAAAGAAATGAAATTAGAAGATAACGATTAATAAATAACTTTTCATCACCGTTTAAAAAAGAGAGAGAACATCAAAAACTTTTTAAATCACATTTAAATTCGTATAATGATGATAATGTCACTAACTCAATTCAAAAACTGCCTTATACACATTATGCGGGGGGAGGGGAGGAAAGAAGATTCGTTTGGAAAAAAACAAAAAAAATGTCAGCTAAATTCAAACAAAAAAGAAGAAAACAGCCGGAATACAACAAAAAATATCTTTGTTGCACAGTAGTAAGGAAGAGCGAAATCTGGGCAATAAATTTAGCATAAAAACAAACACATTAGCCATTATTTGGATATTGTATATGCTTAAATAATTGAGTACGAGCAGAATCCATGTGACCAAATTTGTCGATACTGTATGTTTATCACATTTGTAGTCTAATCAGACGGTGTTTTAAAGTTTCATTTAATGATAATGATTGTACACTGTCAACAAATGGTTTCTTACATTTGTTATAAATATGTTTTATTGATATTTGTTTTAGTGTACGCGTTTTTACAATTAATGTTTCGAGATGTTGGTATAATTCATTTGTTTTTGTTATCATTTTTTTTTGTAAAATATTTATTGATTTATCGATGACTAATGATGATTGAGTAATGACAAATAGATTAATGAATGGTAATAGACGTTTAGTTAAAGTTTTATTAGTTATTTTGAGTAGACATACTGTAACAATTAGTAAATGTTCATCATCAATCGAATAATCTGGATCGAGTCCATGACATATTAATGCTAGAGTGAGTTCATAAATAGAATTAATTTGAACACATGTTTGAGCATAAGGAATTAAACTAAGAACATGAAATAATAATGCACCTTTTCTAAATTCAACTACTGTAGATTTTAATAGTTTTCGATTATTAGTAAAATAATCTTCGACTATTTGCTCTTCAGTATGAAAACGAACGATAGCGACTAGTAATTGTTGAATAAATAAACATTTTCCAATTAAATTTGAACATAAAAAATTTGGATTAATTAACCATGATTTTAATAGATGAATGATTGTATTCATATTCAATTTGATCGGTTGAAATTCGCATTGGCATAATAAATGAAATATATCCATTGTATCATTTAATTCATCATTTGTAATATGAATATGACAAATTAATTGTAGAAAACGTTCAATAGTATATTTTAAACGACTAGTTAGTGTTGAACTGGTAAGAAATAGAACAGTTAAAAGTTTTTTTAGATATTTAATATCAAACTGATTTGATGAATAGGCATGTTGTTGATGTTTTTGTTGTATAAAACTAATAATTGCTGATAATAAACAATCAATACTATTTTGATATTTTCCTGTTGGCATATCAATTTTTGAACCATTGTCAATTAGTAATTCAATTAAATATAAGTACGTTTCGCGCCATTCTTCAATTAAATTCAAATCACCGTAGCGATGTTTGAATAAAACATCTGGTTGATGAGAATGAGACATATCTGAAAAGATAAAACACTAACTTTTTTGTAATACTGACCAAACCGAACACTCTGCACATGTGTTTCCGTTAGTCTATTGACGAATATGGTCAAAACCACTAGTTAGGGCTAGATAGTCCATGTGGTGTAGTACATGAGTATAGAGGGTTGGTTGTATAACAAATGTCTTCGAATGTGAAAATTTACGTTTTAAAATGCTCTATTGTTATTTTGTCTCAATGGCCTGCCACTCTGTTGAACGACTGAAAATTTTAATAGAACAACAGTTGTTCTGTACTGCTAAATTCAAGTTTTGTTAAATATTTTAGTCTTCACAGAAACTCATTAGGTAAAAGTACGAACGCTATTAATATTCTCTTATTTTACAGACATGAACTCGTATATGTGCGAATTTGACTCCTGAACATAGCTTTTTTTGAAAAACAAAACAAAACTATTATCGTATGAAATTGAATACAGAAGGATGATGATACTCGATCATGCCCTCAAATGTGACAAAGTATGCTCTTACTTGTATGACGATTATTTGTACACATGGCTGAATGATGATTAAGTTCCATTTCAAATTCTTTTGTCTGTGAGAAAAATAACATATATATAAAATGTTTATTTTGTAATAATATTTGAATAATATATTCATTTGATAAATTTGGTCGATTTAAAAAGTCTTTCAAACCAGTGGTTAAATATCGTTCCGTAATGATTTTCATCTGTTCTGGTTCAAAGTTATGTGGTTTATTACTGAATAATAAATGTAATAGTGTATTATTGTTTTTATCACAAATTGTAATTTTAAATGAATAATAACGTGATAAAACATTATAAATTCTTTCTGATTTAACATTAGCTAAAAGATTGTATAATATTTTTAACTGTTCTTGTTGTTGATGAGGATGATGATTAACATATAATTCTTGTTGAGATTGTTTAAGAAAATAGTCCAAAATATACTCTGATTCACTATCAATCATTTGTTGAACTAAACGAAATATTTTTGTGCTCGTTTTATGATGAAATAATGATGGTGTCTTTGGACTGGATAAAGATATTAGAGAAGATGTTGATGACGAATAAGAGATACCATTGATTTCTAAAGCATTTGGTAATGATAAACGACCCGTTATTGGTGCTTTAACATTTGTTCCCATCTGTTGACTTATTGTACGATTTAATTGATTAGTATTTTTTCGATAAACAGCTTGATTATTATTTTCTCTTGCCGTTGACCATAAACTCATTGTACTATTATCGTTGAACGGAAGAAACATTAACGAATTATTGTTTGTAGTAGTTTTTAATAGTGTTGCCTTCGTCTTATTTATACTATCACCGCCATCTTCAACAGATCCATCGACTAACGATGTTGTGTAGTATCCGCCATCGGTTGTTGTTTGTTCAACATTCTTCATCGTAAATATGCTTTTTTCTGATTTAGTTATTGGTATTTCTACGGCAGTTTGTGGTTGTTGTTGTGATTTTTGTAATGCTACGTGCTCATTCTGAATACGCAATGCCCACGTCTAAAATGAAACTAAATCTTAGTATTGTTTTACTGATTATCACTTTTTTTTCTTCTACCTTTGTAGCATCATCACTACTAATTGATAGTTCAGTGAAAAATTTTGACGATGAGAAAATATCATTCTCATGTTTTCTGTTATTCATATCTAAAGATGTTGAAAATATCAAATGTTGTTCACTTTCAATTTCTTCGTCGTCGTTTAATACCACCACCTCTTCTGATTCGTCTTTTTCCTGTATTTCATGATTATTATCATCATCATCGAGACAATCATAATGTGGTGTTATTGTGTCACTATAAACATTATTTTCATTTTCAATATTTTTTATCAGTACTCTGTTTGTTAATTCATCTGTTGATTGAAATGAGGTTAAAATTTCATCCATACTATTATTGTTATTGTAGTTTTTATTTGAATCAGTGGTTATTGGAATGATGAAATTTAACGGTGATCGTGTTTCACTAAGAATAATTTTAAAAATTTCAAGGTCATCAAAGGCGAATATAATTTTGAGTGGTGTCAATGAATACTGATATAAAAGATCGACAATTTGTATACAATGTAATTTTTTTATTTTTGACATCCGTTGTAGAGTATATTTTGATAATGTGGTTGGTTGTTTTGGATTACCACCATAATAAAGAAGTAGTCGAACTGCATTTTTCCTTTGAAAACAACATGCTAAGGCTAATGGTAGATCGATCGTTTGAGATGCTGGTGTTTGTGGTAACAGTGAACCACGATTTGGATTACAACCATATTTAAGTAGTAGTTCTAATGCTTGTAAATAATCATGTAATATACACCATTGAATCAAATTATAATATTCATCATTGCATACCAATAAAAGATCTTTACCAATTGATAATGATTTAATAACATTGACTAAATGTGTTTCATCATGTTGATTTTTAGCTGGAAACGATAAAAGTAATAATGTATAAATATCTCTGTCAAAACTGTCGATAAAATCCCCCATAATTTTCTTAAATAATGGTACATCTGAACAGATTAGGTCTCTCTTTCAAGAATTATGACTAAAGGATCTATCCATTAGAGATGAAAGAGTGATCAGTTTATACTAAAATTCTTGAAAGTATCTTGTATTGTTTTCGCTTCCGGAGTGAGATTCAAAACGATAATTAAACAACGTATTTACCGTTAAAAAGTTCTTTGATTATTTGTTGCTCTTCTTGTAATAAATTTCTTCCTAATAACCAATAACAAAAACTTGTGCCGGCATCTAATACTGCCAATAATGAATCAATTGCAACTTTCATTAGATGTTCTGGAAGAAAAGAAAAATAAACTATACTATCAAGTAGACAATAGACACACAATTTGGTACGCGTTGTAATAAAACATCGAACAAAAAATGTCTGATGATGTTAAAATTTAAAAAATTAAGCAGTATTCAGAAAACTATCACGCACACAGTTCGATTAATTCAGACACTATAGTGAAACATTCTTGTATTCCTATTATAAAGTTCCTTCGTCCATCAACAACAGAAAAGTTTATTAGTGTTTAACCACTACTACATACGATAGTATTAAGTGATCTTTTATATTAAACTTAAAAAGTTGTCCCTAGCCGTCACGCTACATTTTTATTCACTTTGAAACTTTTAGAAAATTTAGCATAAATCAATAATCACAAGAGGAAATAAATGAAATACAAATATTTTTATCTAACGTCGGTAGATTATGTTTTATATTCGATGAACAGAAAGAATTGTTAATTGATATTTGTAGATGTTGTGTATCTATAGATATGTCAATTAGTTTTTTTATGATAATCTCTCATTATGTAAATAAAAATAGAATCGTATGAAAGAAGTTAAAATTTTTTTTGTTTCAACATATTAGGCTTAAAATTCACAGTACTAGAGGGTCATAATTTGAAACATAACAAACTCATAGATCGATGAATCTCTTTTTCTAATGTGAGACTATGTTTGAAGTACAAGTAAGAAGAACTGTTGCTTGTTCTGTGAGAAATTTTATCTTTTCACACATAGATAGAAATTAAAAAGTTAGATAGAACCACATCGTTTTTTTCCTTCTCTTTGATAAAAAAAAAAGTATAGGTCTAAAAATACAAAAGTAATTTTACTTACTATCCGTTCTTCTCAACATTCATATTTTCTTTTGTTTTTCAAAGAAAATGCTTGTCTTCAACAGCTCTCGTCCATATTTCTGTTTTAATTTCAAAGTTCACGTTTCAAAATAACCATGTATAATTTTATATCAATATAGTCAAATATACATAACAGGGCATTCACTCAACGGCTGATACGTTTTCTCTTTTTTTTTTTTTTTTGTTTTCTTCGTTTATTTGAACAAGCGAACAGCTGACCTTATCACTCGATTGAACAGAACGATAGATAGGCGGCAGAAGATAGATAACTTTCAATATATAGCAGCAAGGTTCCTCCTTCAGACAATCTCAACTTAACACATTCACAATTCACTCATAAAACGCCAGAACGAGTCAAAAACTTCAGGATATAGTTAATTTTGTTCACTAGACGTGATTACAAAATCCTCAAAAAATTAAAAAATGATATTTTTATCCGGAGATTTTCTAGAAACCCTTTCGGAAAACCATAGGGTTTTATGAATTTTATCTTGTTGATTTCTTTTAAACAGAATATAAAACAGCCTAAATTCTGTACATCCTAAAGTCTTGAACTGGTTCTGATGTTTTTTTGTGTGAATTGTGAATTATTTAATAATAGGTGAAAACAGGCGGAAAATCCTAATTTTTGAAAAACTTGTTTTTTGCTAGATTTTAAAATGTTTTTTTTTGAGAAAAAACATTGCTACGAGATTTAGCATAGTCGAAACTTATGTTTCCATGCATTGCTGGAATTGATTGACTGAAATAAAGAGCAGTCCTAGGACTCCCAGGAAAATCTTGTCTCCTGCGTAACTATGAGAAATGAAGCTCTCGCTTAGATTCTGTTTTGTGGAAGACACTTTAGTTTATCTATTTATGAAAAAAATGAATATATGCTATGTCGTATTTTCCAGTTAGGAAATGTTTTTTCAGAAATTTCCTTGAAAATCGATTTTTGAAAAAAATTTCTAAATATTTCCTGCTTATGAAAACATGCTCTTAAGTCCTGGCTTTCGAATAGCGAAAACCGCGCGCCTTCATCTACTTTCGTTCAACAGCTATTCGAAGCACGGTAACTGGTCTTGTATTTTGGTTTCAATAATAGTTTCACTTGTTACAATAGATAAAAGTGAAATCTTGCGCACATTTAAAGCAAAACTTGTTTTCACAGTTATATCATCAGAATACCTTTGCCCATTTTTGTGAAAAGCCGATGTATACATTTCACATAAAATGAACGAATTTCAGTTAATAGGCAAGACGAGCATATTTTTTACCTGCCATGCACGACTTCTCCTCATCCGTCTTATAGTAGTAAACTCGTGCGGCTTACAGAATAATTAAGTGCATTTCTTTCGTTTGAAAAGATGCGGTTTTTGTAAAATTCAAACGTAATAGAACTTTTACAGATTGTTCGAAAAAATGAGAGAGTGTATGTTTAAGAAATGAAACCGAAGTTTCATAGTCTTTTAAGCGTCCTCGTAGCTATTATTGTACTTATCCACCAATTGTCTCCAACGCACAGATCACATTGATGAAATGATGAAAAACTGTTAGATGATGAATAAGAGGAAACTTTTGCCAGACGAAACAGGTGTATATGGTTCCTTCGGGTTTAATGATCTCATAATCACACTTTTCTATTTGATATACTCGTTCGTATCACTTTCATTCATCATTCCACACATAGAAATTCACATGAACCTAAGGTTTAGTAAAGATGTACGGACTCCTTTTTAAGCCCTGCGCTCCGATCTATACAAATTTCCATGTTCTGTCCTATGATTTTGGTACTCTTGTCCTATTCTGCTCTATAAAGTTTTCTCAAATTGTGTTTGTTTTTTCATAGTGGGATGCCATTTATTCAATTCTGTCCCAAACACATGTGTAAAAATACACTTACCGAACTGAATTAGTTTTTGCTAGCAAAAAGTGTTGTACTTCAATAGTGACAAAAAATTGTTGTTCTAGAAAGAGTCCGGTGTTCTGCATTGACGTACGAATCTTTAGATTTACTCTTGCTCTGCTCTATACATTTTATAACCGAGTTCTGCCCTGACTTACAGGTCAGGGTAGAGCAACGTCGACTTGCACATCTCTACGGTTCAGTACATCAAAACAAGAACTATTTATGTTCTCTGAGAATGAAGAACTCTTTTGTTTACATTAACTAAAAATTCTTTCATTCTTTCTTCGTATAGATAATACGTGATGCGTTATACTCAGCGAAAGATTTTTTAGTGCAAGTCATATATGGATCTTTCTAAACTAATTAACTTATCATTTTCCAAGTCTTGAATTTCTATGCTTACTTAGATGATAAATACTGTACTCTATGCTGAATATATAGACACAAACTTCCAATAAACCGCACGAAACCTGCGGTATCCCAGAAAAATGTGACATCCATTTTGAATGTTTATTTGAACATCGCTCGCAGACATTGGTCACAAAAAACATACACAAAGCCAGTTATATTTTTAGCGTTGATGTCTACTTACACGATCACTGAACAGCATCTTTTTTTGTATATATCGGCTGTTTTGACTTCACATTCGACCATAAAACAGTTTTATCTGTGAATTTACATTAAGGAAAATAAAACCTGTTATATCATCGATTTTTGGTTTTCATTTCTTTACGACAGAACGACTATCTTCTCTTCAACTATTTGATATGACATTGTATAGTAGATGTGCATACATGACGTGCGTTTTTTCTCAACGCATTTTCTTTCTAAAACCAGCTGTACCAAATTTTATTATTCAGCCAGAGAATATATGATGACCATAATAATATTATTCTATAGTTATTTTTTTTCAAGACAGAAAAGCACTATGACCCACACAATTGAGAAAGGGTGTATGTAGTGAGTTACAATCACGTGTCCAGTCTAAGAAATTTGTTTCATGTTGTACACGCTATTAAAAATATTAACTTGACATCCATTTTATAACGTTTTTTGCTATTGTCGCGATAATGGTTAACGCGCGATGTATTATATATAAATATGACCTATTTTTTGTAATATGACCCAACATTTTTGATAAGCACAGTATCACATCAGACAATAAAAGATGCATCAAAGAATGATAACAAAGTAGTGATCAAATGTTAATACAAATACTCATCAAGTGAAAACAGACATTTCCGTATTTGCTGGTTGCCTTATACAAAAGTTTATGTTCAGAGATTTGGTTCTACTTTTCGGAAAAGAACTGGACTTTAAAATGAGGATAGTAGTATGTAGTTTCTAGGTGATAAACCAAACACGTCTCAAAACAGTACAGTCTTTTCAAATTTTATTTTCTATCCGATATAAGTAAATGCGACATATTTCTCCTGAACATTAGTAGAAAGAATGATAAAAGCTTAGCTTTATAGTATATACATATAGAAGAAGCTTCTTAACTACGTAAAAGATATTCGAAAGAAATCTTAAGGGTACGACGAACGCAATGAACAATTAGATGATAAAATTCAGTTTCAAGCTTTAGACTGCAATGCTATCAGATGCTATAGATCAGAGAATTTTGCGTTTAACAGCGTTTTTAGTTTGGTTGCACAACGAATACTTGCAGTATCGTAGGACAGGAAGAGTAACTCTCCAATTGCATAACATTTAAATTAATGTGTAATACAGTATGTCTGAATTATATATGCATCATCCCACCATCTCTGTTACATATTGCACTCTAAAGCAGTTAATTACTTAAAAACTCTTTTGCATTTCTCCGGAGTATAAACTTACAAGAGATGTAGTACCGGGATAGTGACGAGTAGTAAAATTGGATTTAATCAGTTGTCATTGAGGCACTGCTAGTCGACGAGCATGTTCGATGATTGAATAACGATAATGTGGTGTAACTATCTTGTAATTGAAGCACTTTCCACAGTAACGAATCACGTTGTTTTGTTGAACGACAAATGTAATAAATGAAACTGAGAAGTAAACTGTCAAGCAAGACAGTGACTACACTGTAAAAAATGGTCGTAGATTAATAAACTATCAAAAAGGGTTTATTGAGATCAATAAACCTTTTAAAAAACGCTTTTCCATTTTTTATATCCAAAAACAAACTAAAAAGCGTTCGTGACAGATGCAAAATGGAAAACGGGCGGTTTTTTGTCGAGTCTAAAATATCAGCTAAAAAACTCTTCAGTTT